GAGTCGTCAACTAGCTTCAAAAGGATTTAAAAGGTCACTATTCCTAATTATCTACTGTTCTTTCTCTTTCGGTTATTTATAATTTTATTGGTGGACCAGTATTCTATTTGTCATTATTTTTTCAAGTTTCTCAGTATATTGCATTTTAATAAGTAATTAAGTATATAACTGCATTCGGCCATTTTATATGTTCATAGTTGTTTAGAATTTCTAGCGATTTGTTCCCGTATCATTTCTACTTTCACCTTATTTTGATGAAATCAATTTTAGGTTACCATCTGGAGCTCATTAATGTATTGTGATTGTCTACATTAATCTTAGACGTGTGAAGGAAAATAAATGTATGAGAAGGATCAATCATTTAAAAAATTAATGTATTAAGACCAATCTGCTAAGAGTGAAATCTTTATATCATATGTGAGAAAAAGAAAAAATAGAAGTAAAAAAGAATGGTGATAAATTAAACAAATTATAACAATTTGAAGGATAACATGTGCCAATAGACTCTAATAAAGATCATAAATTTATCCTTCATCTTGCAGTTCTTAAATAACCAACAACAAGAAGCAAGTTAATATGGTTCAATCTCGTATGTTCACAGTAGTCTTCCTTGCCTAATTCGTCCATAATTAACTAAAAAATAATAGTGATAATAAAGTATTTAATCATGGTATAAATAGCAAAAGAATGGCGTACGATTTTGGATATTTCCATGATGAATAACACTTTTCAAGTAACAAATATCCATATTTTTATGTCAACACTATTAAGCAGTTTGGTGTATTACGTGCGAGACACGTACATAAAAACTAGTAGTAATAAAATTATACAAATAAATGTCTCGAATCTAAAAGAGACAAAACAAATGAAATACTCTAAAATACTAGAAAAACTTTAGATGTACTTTAAATATTAGCTCATGTGTTTATACCCGAACCTTGGATTGATATGCTTAAATAATAAAAGGATCATGTGCGCATTCCGCGTCTCGATACCTTTAGATTTAAAATAATTATGTTATAACCATGTGTACATTTTGTACCTTGGTTTAACATTTAATTTCAAAGAAATGCCTTGTGTGCATACCGCATCTAGGTCAAAATAATTAATAAAATATAATAAATTAAGTAAAGTTGTAATAGACAAACCATAACCAATAAAATACAAGAATAGCCAAGAATTAATTTAAGCCGGACATGAGTCAATAAAGCGACCGTGCTAGAACCACGGGACTCGAGGGGTACCTCACACCTTCCCCTCAGTCAACAGAATTCCTTACTCAATCTTCTGTTTTCGTAGACTATAAATAAGGAGTCAAACCTTCCATTTGATAAGGGATTAAAATAAAAGGTGACTTGGAACACCAAACTCAATTCCAAGTGGCGACTCTAAATAATAAATAATCTCTTTTCAAAACGTCACTTCAATTGGAAAAACTCTTCTAATTCAACCTCGTAATAAGGGTTGCGGGAAAAAAAGAGGTGTGACAATTATTAAAATGGGTAATTACCCGTAATTACCCATTTTATTAATTACATCAAATATCTATTCTATTACAACTAATTACCTGCCCAGCCTAATACATAATTAGCTTTCCTTTTTTTGTCTCCTCATTAATTCTCGCTACTGCCGCTACCCATTTCCCAAGTAGAACCAGCAAACACTTTTAAGAAGTTTCAAAACTAATTTTTCTCTTTTACTCCATAAAAAATCACAATTCTCAATCGGAAGTTCAATCACAAAAGAGATAGCATTTGTATGTTGTTTGTATTGTACCTTTTTTCTTGCTATCATCAACCTTTTTTTTTTATTTGTGCTCCATAATTCATTTTATCCCCTAAAAGTAAAACAAAAAATAATATGTACTATCTAACTAAGATTTGAATTTTCATGTCTGTTTGAAGTGTTTGCGGTTAGAATTTATTGGGTATTATTTTTTGATGTGTATATTATGATGTTAATGCTAATTTTCGAAAATTTTATTGTGAGAAAATTAAATCCATCACTAAAGGATCTTGAAGCTTGAAACTCATTAATTGGGTTTGTTGAGTTTGTAGTTATTTCGATCCAATTATGATTAGAGTGTGCTTTAATATTAATTGGAGGTTGTGGTTATATTTTGAATCAATTTGGTGGAGATTTTGGAGTAGATTTTATAATTTTGGATTGAATTAGCAAAAAAGACGAATTTATACTATATACCAAAATGGTATATTATATACCATTTTGGTATATAATTAATTACAACAATATAATGTTATAGTATATAGTATAATATAATAGTATAATATTGAATGAAGAGCACAAGATATTATTTTGATATATTGTAGAACTGTATACCCTAGTATAATTATATGTCATATTGGTATCATATAATAGTTTGAATATTTTTTGGTTGTTTTAGTTGCATTTTTAAGTGAATTCTATTCTAAAATGATTTATATGATCATGTTTTGCTATGTTGGATGTTCTTGTACCTATGGACATAGATTTTGTGTATTATGTAAAAGTTTTTATAGTTATATGCAGTTGTTGGAACGACCCCGTATAACTATATACCATATTAGTATAGCTATATACTATATTGGTATCATATGATAGTTGAATCATTTTTTTGTTGTATTAAATGCATTTAATTAGTACACTATTTGATTTTTTTAATAATAGTAATATAGTATAATATCTTGAAATACTTTATTAAATTAATATGTGGTACACTATTTTTTTATTTTTTCTCTTTATGCATGTGTGTTATGTAATAGTAGTATAGTCATATAGTTGCCGGGAATTAACAAGTAAAACTGTATACCATGTTGGTATATTTATATGCCATATTGGTATCATATGATAGTTTGAATATTTTTTGATTGTTTTAGCTGCATTTTTAAGTGAATTCTATTCTGAAATTATTTATATGAATATGATTTGCAGTGCTGGAATATTTTTGTGCTGATTGACATATATTATGTGTATTATGTAATAGTTTTTAGAGTTATAGACAATTATTGGAACGACCCCATACAACTATATACCCTGTTAGTATACGGAATGAGCAAGTTGCTTTGCATTTAGCTTGCAATGCAAGCATGTAGGGGTGTCATGGTTCGGTTTTTCCCAAAAAAAAACCAAACCAACTAAGTCGGTTCTTCAAATATTGAAACCAAACCAAACCAATCAAGTAGGTTTTTTATCAATTCGTTTTTTGTCGGTTTTGGTCGGTTCGGTTTTTTCGATTATTTATCGGATTTTTTCTTAAATATGAGACATACACTACCAAACACATATTTCGGAGACTACATTTTTAATGTAACACTATCAAACCAATTTCTCTTTGAGAAATCTATCATTTACCAAGATATATTGATGATAATTGAACCAACTAGTCATGAATAATTTAAGTACTCAATTAAAAATCGATTATTTTTAACATGAAATAAATTTTTGTACTTAACAAAAAAAAACTATCAATCAAACTAGAATGTAATGTAAAGGCAAAGAATTAGATTATTATAATAGCAAAAAACTAGACTAAAAATATAAACGACTAATATGTACTATAAAATTTTAGAAACTTTATATAAAAATATACATATATAGAGGTATAATAATAAATTTAAATAGCTACTTCTATAGTCGGTTTGGTTTGATTTTTTTCGGTTATTTTTTGATTAAAATCAAAACCAAACCAAATTTGATTGGCTTTTAAAATTCAAAACAAAAACCAAACCAAACCTAAAAAATATCGATTTATTTGGTCGGTTTGGTTCGGTTTTCGGTTTGGTTCGATTTTTGGTTTGGTTCGATTTTTCGGGTTTTTATAAACATCCTTACGAGCATGTAATTTTCTCATACTTTTATTGTATCCTTTAATGTTTTGGTACAACAATATAGTCGCAAATATTTATAGCAATATTCTAGAGCAATCATATACTCTGTTGGTATACATGTATACCATATTGGTATCATATGGTACTACAAGTCTTTTTTGCTACTTATACTTTTATTGCATTTTTTAATATTTTATTATCATTTCTATTCTAACAAGTATATATAGAGATTTGGTGGTCATAGATTATATTTTCTTGCTCCATAACTGGTTATGTTACTGTTAATAGTAGAGCGTGTACTGATATTTGTAGGGAAGGAGATCAAGGTTTGCATGACAATCACGTGTTAATTCTTAGAATCTGATTATGTAATTTATCGTGCTTAACAACAGTCAGTGTGATATTCAATGAATTAGATCAAGTGACAACTGATATTATTTCAGTTTAATAACTGAATTAAAAAAATGAGAAAAAAGACAAAAGGTATATTATACTAGTTATATTAAAAAAAATGTGAACAAATATTTACTATATTAGTTATTTTTTCTTATTGTATAGAAACAAAAATAATAAAAAATAATGAAAACAGTAAATGAAATTAGATTATGAAGAGAAAAAGAATATAAAAAAAAGAAGAAGTTAAATGAAATTAGAAAAGGAACAAGTAATAAAGAAAATAAAAGAAAAAGGAGTTAAATGAAATTAGAAAAGGAACAAGAAATAAAGAAAAAAATAAAAAAAATAAAGAAGGAGTCAAAATTGAGTGTGAAATAATTTATGGTAAAAATAACAATAATACGATTTGGGCAAAAATAAATGAATAGAAAAAGAGAAAAAAGAAAAAAATAAGAAGAAAACGAGAAAAAAGAAAAGGAGAAAAGAAAGAAAAAAAGGAAAAAAGAAAAGAAGCATAGAAATAAAAAAAAATTGGAAAAAAAAGAGAAAATTACCCAAAAAAATTATTATGGGTAGAAAATATAAGTAGTTTGATGGATAAAAAATAAATGGGTAAGGAAAAATATATAATTTTATTTTTGTGGGTAACTGCGTCATTCTTACATATTTAAGTGGCCCAAGAACAACACCAAGCCCAATCCACCAACCCATTCTTTAGTCGTTTTTTTTTATAAATATTTTATTTAGCAAACCCCATCCTCTAGGTCTACTATATAGGGGAGAATGTTTCCCGCCATTTTCAGTATTGGACGAAATTCTACAGGTCAGTTGCTTCATCGTTGAATCGCGAAAAGCAAAACAAAGCCATGGAAGTCGTCAGATCTCAGAGGAAATCTTCAGTGCCTAACGATGCCGTCTCGACTCTGCCTCTCTATCGTTCTGCACCTCCTCTTGAAGTCCGTCTCGAAGATTTTGAGTTTTATGCCATCGATCGCCTCCGCGGTAATTGAAATCTTCTCCCCTTCATTCAATCATCCTCACTAGAAATGTCCGCAGATTTTATTTCTGCGGACATTTCAACAGCATCTGTAAAATCTCGCAGCTTACCAGAAATGAATTAACTAAATTTGTGCCTTATTTCTTCTGATCTATTTTACGTTTCATTCATTTTTCGTTGATTATTCTCCAAGCATAAGTATGTTGATCTACTGATTTTGTTTGTTTTCTTCTTTGTTTTTACGCAAATTCTATTGGCTAGAGGAAAAAAGAAAATTAAAGAAAAAGGAGAAACCAATTTCTAGTATTGTTATTGCTTGTTTTTTAAGGTGCCAAGACAAAACCTTTTTTTTTCTTGTGAAATTATTCCATAAGAGGTGATGCCTTTCCCTAAGTATAAATATTTACCTTCTATAATTCCATTTGTTGTTTGACTGGAGATAGAGTTAAAGACATTAATTTAACTTATTTATCATGTTAGTGATATTAAGTAATGGTTTGAAAGTGAGCTTGATGCAGAAAAAAATTGTATCTTAGTTAGATTCTGAATAGTCAAATAAATTTGAAATCTTGAAAATTTTGAATGTTTTATAGGAGTAGAATATATTATTAATGATATGATGCCAAACCTTTTGCATCCTGGAATTGAAAGAATGCCGTATTAATTGAAACTAAGTGAGTTCTATCATTAAATGAATTTAGCCAAAGCCATTTCAGTTCTATAATATAGTTAATGGAGCTGTTGTTGTAGAGCCTTCCACATTATTGCATCTGATTCCCATAAGACCGTGGTCTCTTAGTCTATATATATATTGTATACATAAATTTCTCATTTGTAGCATTAGCTTCGTATAATTCTTTTTTTATTTAATTGATGGATATGATTTGTCTATATAATCCAGTTTTGAAAGGAATTTCGGATGGTTTATCCAGAGGAAAGAAGCCTGATGAGATGGAGAAATTGGTAACGATGTAGTTTTTCTTTAAAATATAGAATTATTTTTTCTGTCTCACTAATGTGCAGATTGATTTATTGGCTTCAATCTTAGGTGTATGATCTGTGGAAGGAAAATATGAGGCATCCGCAGGCATCCGAGGTTGCTAACAAGGACATAATTTCACATTTTGTCTTGCGGCTTGTTTATTGCAGGACGTAAGTTGAGGCCATTGTGATTTTTCTATTCTCAAATATCTTTGGTTCCATGTAATATGTGTCTGTGTGGTGGTGTGTGTATTTTTTAACTTTGAACTTCATATGTTAGGGAGGAGTTGAGGAAATGGTTTCTGTCAATGGAGACTACCTTATTTCGGCACCGATTCCTGCATGAAAATCCTGAAGTTCAGGTTTGATAGCTACAAGCACCATTGTTGTCTCCTGGAAACATTTTTATGGTTCATGCTGATAATGTGTGGCACATAAATTTGGATACAGAAGGCGCTATTCGCAGAGTTTGATCTTCCATACAAAGCTGTGAGCCGTGCTGAATACGAGGTAAATTTTATGTTAGCTTGTGGTACTTCTACGAGTGACTATTAGTTTACTTCCACAGCATTATGGCCAGGGTGTTCACCTTTTTCTGGAAATGATAAAACTTTTGGCCCTGAAAGACTGGTTGCTTTTGATGCAGACTGTGAAGGACATGCTGAGCCAAGTTGCACGCTCCATAGGCCAAAGCAGTATTTCTCGATTACTTGCTTCTCCCTGTTTTTCAATTGTGAAGACCAATTTTTGTACTACTTTCATGCATTAACATTATGATATTGGTTTGTTGCAGCTGATGTGATCTTCTACAAGGTATTCACTTGACTTGAAAACCCTTTAACTGCCCAACTTTGCTGAAAGAAAATGACAAAAGGAAGACAGCAAATGGATCTGCTCCAAACTCCTTAAGCCATGTAAAACCTATACTAAAAGGAAGGAAAATTTACTGTATCTTTTCTTTAGCGTGTCAAAAGAAAGATCCATATGCACTGTCTTGTGCCGGTAGCCTTATATTTTGGGAATCTGAGGATCATGGTGCGCTCAAAAGCCATGATATTTATCATAAAGAAGTACATCTGTTTATTCAATTGTAGATTTTCATGCTTGGCTCATGCATGATATATGAGACAGGTCTTTTTATTTGTATCTGGACTCTAATATTGAAAAATATTAAATAATATAACATAAGTCACTCTCTTATCTTGTAGTACTTAATGAGGTGATGCCTTCGGAGAGTTCTGGTTGATTTCCATTTTATTGTCTTGCATTTAACAATAAAGGTTCCATTTGAGGAGGTGCCAGAGCTTGTGGCAGGTCGGCGGGTATTTATTCAGGAAGGGAATGCATATATTGCAATGAGCCAGGTAATTTAGTTTCTGGTTTATGGTGTAGAGTCCATGTAAATATGCTAATCTGAAATCTCAATATACAATTTCCCTGATGTGGCTTATTCTTACAGGTGGTTTCACTAGTTGTCACACAATTCCGCAGTCATCTTTCAAAAGCACTAGTGCTGACAAACAGGTTTATAGATACATGTTTGCTCTTCTCAGGGAAAGATAGGACGGAGTCAACCAATCTTTCACTAAATTAGAAATACCATTTTTGAATCTAATATGTTTTTTTTTTTATTGTTTTAGAACTCTCTATTCCTAATAGGCATCTTGAAAATGAAGTTTTCCTTTCATCAACTGGATTTTCTGTAATGGTTTGAACTAGTTATAACACATTTAGAGTTAGAGAGTTGACGATTCCCCATTCTTCCATTTACCAAGACTACAATAATAGTTGTATATGTTCACTTCAATTATTTTTTCTATTCCTGGCAGAAGCATTCTCTGTGTGCTTTAGTTTTTCTGCCTGTCAGCAATTAGCATGTGCACGTTCACTTTGACATGTAGATTTCTTGTTATTTATTCTCTTATCTTCTCATGTTTGAGTATTTTTATGTTATGTTGTTGAGTAAATAATGATTGAGGGAACACGTGCTTTTTCTTGACTTCAGGCAACATGGCTTTTAAATAAGGACCTTGTTATGTTGAGTAGAGTACAAGTGACATTCTGTTTTAGCATGATATTTTTGCCATGTCAAGATTACCATTCATCTAATGAAAGTCAAAAGCTTTACTTTCCATTGGATTTTTAGAAGTTTATGCTTTTGGTTTCAGAAAATGGACATCCATGATTAGAGAACAGGAGAAGGATCGTTTGACTCCTGTGAGTATTGAGCTACTTTGAAGCTGCACTTAAAGAATTATATAACCTAATTTCCATTGTATTTAATGTGACTACTGAACTAGCTCTTAAGTTGCACCTGAAAGTTTAGCACCTTTTTCTCTCATATTTGTCAGATTATTGAAGCTCTATCCACGAGTTATTTGGGTCCTGATTATAGCCAGGTATCTGCAACATCTGCCTTTTTATTTATTTCAGCAGTTGAGATTCTATTTGTTTTTGGTTGACCAAATAAAACATTTGCTGCAGCCAACAAAGCACACAGATATATCACTAAAAGACATTGATCAAATTGCTAAGAGTTCGTTTCCACTGTGTATGCATCATCTTTTCGGGAAGGTTAGAACTTCATCAAGGAACTAACTTTATGTTATTTTGAATTGCCTTCAATGTTAAAGTGATCGCATGTTCCTTGTACATCTTAGTATTATTTGAATTTTTATAATACACTTTTCAGTCTTTGTCATTTGCTTCCGTTTATGACCTACAATACCTATTGCAGCTAAGAGAGGATCATCATCTGAAGCATGGTGGGAGGATGCAACTTGGTCTATTTCTCAAGGTCACATTATTGGGTTTGATACACATTTGTGTTGGCTTTGTGTAACACATAAAAAGATTCTAACTATTTATTTAAAGATCTAGAATACTGATGGAGCTTTTGCTGCTCTAAGCATGGCATATTTTTTTCTGTTCGACTTGCGCATCAGTATCATCAACTTTGTGTTTGCTTAACATAAATGTACTACAAATGTTTTTTTATTTGCGTTTGGTGATTTATCTATGTACAAGCATACTAACATGGTTGGATTTTTTTTGACCTTGTACAAAAAAAAAGCTGTATTCTTTTGCTTTTGTGATTCTATAATTGGTTTTGAATTTTTAATTGATTTAATTCAGTATGAATCTTAAAAGAGAACTGCCACAAAAGTGGTGCTCCAACCAATACTTCCTGCTTGTCAAATATTCTGTTGTGTATGAGCATACAAGAAAGTCGATGCTTGATAAAAGTATAAAATTAAAGCAATTATTCAATTTATGAGCAGCAATGATTCAAATTTAACATATGTATTTTGTGAGAGAAAGCGGGGAAGTTTGAGGACTTCTGAAACCTGGAAAGAGGTAAGACAAATGGTTCTAAGATATTGTCTTGTGAGAATAGAGTGAGCTGTATAAAACAATTTTTCTCTGCAGTGTTGGATCAAGGGAGCAGGTCTGAATTTGAAAGTCTTGTTAGGTTTTGGGGCTATAATGTTGTCAATAGTGGCTTTAGACTAGTGTCTGATTCTTTAACTTGAACCAACATGGCTTTGGCACCATAAATATAAATATGAGTTTCAAGATTTACGAAACAAATTGTCAAAAGTTTGTTTCTTCACTTCTGAAAGTGTCTTAGTTTTACTTGTAGGGTATGGGATTGAAGTTGGATGACGCCCTTGCATTTTGGAAAGCTGAGTTCTCCCCAAAGGTGAGGATAGTGTAGTTCTTCTCGTTTGCTTTCTTTTTCTCTGCATGGACAGGCAGTGATCCGGGTATTAAATTTATTCTGCTTCTGCTTTCAAGCTTTTATTTTGGAATAGGGACCGCTATTTAACTAAGGGAAGGTGAATATAGTTCATTTATTTTATTGCTTGTCTTATTCCCTGACTACCATTATAACTTATAAGCTGTTCAAAGCTGGAGTCTACAATGCACATTTTTCTATTATACTGTAATTAGCTGTATGTATTCCCTCTTAATACATTCCGAAAAGTTTCTTATACTAAAAGATGTAAAAGGACTGAGTAGCATGCGCTGAACTCTACATCCTTCTTCTCATATCATATATGAACATGACTAAATATGAGGCAACTATCAGAAAATATTAACTACTACAGATACAATGTTAACATCATTGTTTGGAAACACTTTTTCCCAAACTCTAGTGGTTTAGCTATACCGCAACTTGCCTCTATTTAGAAAGAGAGAAGTAATGCACATTATGAATTCCACGATGTTTTTCATTTCTCTTGGATATGAGGTGTATAATCTCTTTTGTAATTTCTTTTGTAGGTTGTTGCTGAAAGATTTGATAAAGAATATGCATACAGCATAAGGCACAACTATGGAAAAGAAGGAAAAAGAACGGTGAGTAACTTATTCAAAGTTGCATTTCTTTGAGTAACTTATTCAAAGCTGCATTGCTTAATGATGTTGAAGTTTGTGAAGTCTTGGTAGATATATGAAATTTTGTGATGGTCTTGGTTGGTAAAAGGACTTTGCTCTCCATTTAGAGTATGATCACAGTCCTCGTGCTGTATTGCAGTGACAACCTTGAAAAGGAGGGGAGGACAAAGGTTTCTGTCAACATCCAAGAAAAAGAATATAAATTCCAAATATTCTATCGGTTCCACATATCTCTCATTTCTGTTTTATCTCAAGTGAGGAATAAAGTTGAAGAAAGTGGCTCTGGTCAATCTTCTTTTGGTTCTTTGACTCCTTCAGTCCTTTGCATTTTGAGAAAAAGCAAAGCTGTATAATTATTTCAAGAATCTGCAAAATTCATAGAAAAGAGAAGATGAGGAAGAAATCATTCTCACATCTTTTGCTAATACCTTTTGAGCTTTGTAATCTTTTCTGCTACTTTCTCACCAGCCGTTCTCTGTTGCTGCAACCAATGCAGGATTATACACCTTATTCTTGTCAAAAGATTATATCATCAACACCTGGAGTCGGAGATCATCATGGCTGTCCATATCGTCATTTCAGGTCAAAGCTTTTCTGGGGTTTGTGTTTGACATTGTTCTCTTAAAGTTAGCAAGTGTGCATTTTTATTTTGTGGTTGAGGGGGTGGGCAGGGGGGTTGGTTAAATTAGTACATGCTCCTATTAGACACCAACAACTTGAAATACTCCTCTCTCCTTTTCCTCTCTGAAAAGAGGGCCTTTTCAAACTTTTTTTCATCCCTTCTTTTCACCCTGCGGAGCAACTTTTATTTTCTTTGCTTATAACTTCATGATGTTTAGCATTTCCTAGAATCAATTAACAAGGGAAAAATCTAAAGGTCTTACATTCTTTAACAACGATTTGCAAAACAATTTCAAAATGTTTGTTATCTAAGTATCTAAGCATTCATTTGCTATCTAACTTTAGAATGTCAAAATTATGGCATGAGGACTTTATTGATAATGTTGTATAAGTGGCTGTTGTATATAGTTTTAAATTAAAAAAAAAAATAGTTAAGTTTCATTGGGTGTTACCTGCCTCCGCTGTCCGCTATGTATCAATGGTGATTAGTTGTCATCTTAAAAAAGAAAAAATAACTGAAATTCCGTAGGTCCTGGTGTTTGTTTATTTGGTACAAGCATAACCACGTCATCCGACATGAGAAGCGTGGTTTATGTGTGACATGCGGGCCTGCAGATTCTTTTTTTTTGATCACTCGTGTGTGCCTGCGGAGTTATCACTGGCAAAGTGCATTTTCAGTTTCGAAAATAAAATTTAGATATTTCTTTCCCTCTTAAGTTGCATTTCAGAGATGTGGAGTCTGTATTTAACATTTCCTAACTCAACTGATGGGATCTCCAAAATTAGCTGCTGGCAAATATTATTATTTTATTGGGAGAAAACGTACTCTCAGAGTGAGTTTTTCTTACCCTGAAAACATTAATTCACTCCAAAAGATTACTGGTAATGTCTAAACTTCGTGATATTAGCTCGACATTTTCCACATTTCCAACTTCGAACTTATAAAAGCTTCACAGGAGGTGTCTCTATTACTCTTCCTCAGGCTTTTCCTGTCAGTCTCTGTATAATGACGGCAAGTGGTGACAATTGGCTTGCACCCAGGAACTCAAATTTATACTCCTGACAAACTGTTCTGGTATTTCAAAAATCGAATATTGCTGGCAATTATTTCTCATTATCTGGCAAAATTTGCTTCAACAGTGAGGAGAATTTGAGAGCTGCGCTGACCAGGATGGGAGTAGGCAATCAAGCAGTCGAGGATGTGTTAGGCAAAGTTCGAAATAGACACTATCAGGTTAGTGTATACTTTTATGTCTTACAACTGCTTTAGTCCCCCTTATCTATTATTTATGATCATAATAATTTGCAGTTGGCTTGTACTTTGACCTTTGAAGCTGTTCATGGTTCATCGTGTGATGCGGGGATTAACCATCCAAATCAGTACTATAATGACAGCCGAAAGATCTTAGAATCACCAGTAAGTTCTTCAAAATGGAGTAAAAATCTTTGCTTTTGTTTCCTATACCTACTCTACGAAGAGCTATGTTATGAATTCCTGTAATATGCCAAATTCCCTTGGGGTGTTAAATCATTGTTTATTGTTTGTAAGTACTTCGAACTAAATTTATCGCCTCAATATTCTGCTCCTTCTAAGTTCTAGTTGGAACACTATATTTTGTATTTCCACATTTTTATGCTGAGCAAGAACTTGCTCAAGGTGTACATGTGATATAAAGAAAAAACTACTGCTTGTGATGGACTTGACCTTTTTACTTGGGAAGTATTTATACTTTATGCACAGTTGTTTGATTCTTGTTAGGACATTGTTCTGTAACTGAACCAATTTGGATTTACTTGGAAAAACTACAGCCTTAGGCTAATATCCTACTTTGTCAACGAAACAAAATAAATTCCAGATTTAACTGGGATCAAGTTTATTGTTTTAACATGGAAGGAGAAGGTTTTATTCTCCAAGAGGGAAGCCAGGTGACCTAAATCTGGTGTTCTGCTCCCTAGTCTGAACAGAATAGTACATCAAAAGGACGCGTAGGGATTGATACTGCCATTGAGTGATCATTCTTTTGCTATATGTATATATATCTTGCCATCAACATCTTTGCTGAGAGTGAGAGAGTGGGAGGGGAAAATAGGACAGAGTAGTTAAGTGCTCTGCTGTCAGAGGGGTTGGGATTTGGAGTTTTAACTAACTCTTGTCTTGAGGTCTTTGCATGTTACCTTAGAATCCATGCACAATGGCAACGGAAATGATGCTTAAATGATCAGTATCTAATTTCTAATATATCCACCCTATTTGTTGGATAAATTCAATAGGATCAAATTTTGTTCCCATAGTGAATTAAAAAGTTTTATCCGTGACGCACAGACCATGTTCCAGTTCCCAAAAGAGCCTAGATATTAAAAGTTGCATATCTAGTGTTAGATATTCCGGCAGACCACGGTTGCTGTCTGCATATTGATTTTTGTCTCAATAAGATTTTTGCACTTTTCAAAGATTGAGCTTTCCAGATGTTCCTTTGCCACTCCAGTTTGGTTCATCTGCTGTAACTTTACCTTTTCTGAGTGGAAATAGTAGTTGCCATGCATACTCATTCCTTGGTGTTTTCATAAAATTGTTCTGGAGAATGTGTTCTTCCATTGTTATTGCCGTCCAAAGTTGACACTTGACAGCATAATAATATTCAGTATCTTTGCTTAGACCATGAGGTGAATAGTTTGCATTAACTGGTATCACTATGATCTTTGATTGAGTTGCACTGACAATTGTTAATATTTAAACTAATTATGCCCTCTTCCATTACCAGTTTTAGCATAACGTATTCCTTCTTTCCATTATTATCACTTGCAGAACAATTCCAGCAACCCATGAAACACAGAAGCTTTGACACAAGGGGAGTTTAAACGCTTTTGCCCTCCTAATGTGAGAATTTTACCATTCTCTTTTTTTTTTCTTTTCATTTTGTTGCCTACATGGACATTTTAAAGAGATAATGAAATGATATAAGATCCAATTGACTGACTGCTAGATGAAGTCAAAACAGAGAGACAGAGGCCATTGCTGTGACTTTTTTTAATAAGGTTAAGTAACTCATTAATTTGACAAATACCCCATATACAAGTAGTATACCAAAAAGTAGAGAACATACACCAAAATATGTTTCTCTATACATGAAACTCGATCTTCTATACAAACAAGACTGCATAGGTGCACAAAAAAATAAGAACATTAAGCTATTCCTCAAAATACACGGTTGTTTTTTATCCCTCGAAAGACTCCTATTTCTCTCCTTTTGCATGACCCACATTATGGCTAAGCGGCAACATTCATGCCTGACGTTTTCTCTTCTTCTAAAGGCCTCCGTATCCTTTATTAATCCTGGTAACATCCTTGCACCCTAAAACAGTTAAATACTATACAACGCACTCAAGCCAACTTGACAACGAGATGTTCCACGTCTTCACTGAACATTTACACATAAAACAACTAAGTGTGTGATCCTCTCCTTCATTTTCAAGTTCTCAATTGTCAAAATTGCTTCTCTTTACTGCAAACCTAGCGGAGAAGCGTACTTTTCTGGGTGTTCTAGGAATTCAAACTGATACATGGGGAAAGCTCTGTTCCTCCCACTAGTAGCTTAAGTGTGTGATCCTCTCCTTCATTTTCAAGTTCTCAATTGTCAAAATTGCTTCTCTTTGCTGCAAACCAAGCGGAGAAGCGTACTTTTCTGTGTGTTCTAGGAATTCAAACTGATACATGGGGAAAGCTCCGTTCCTCCCAGTAGTAGCTTGTGTTAGTATCACGTTACTGAGAAAACTCCATCTCTCCTCGTCTCCTACCTCCATGAGCCCGGATTATCAAGCATTCTGTTGTTTTTTAGTTTCAACCAATCCTCGAAATTTATCTATTTCCCAGTCTTATAAATTGCCCCGTAAAGATCCAAGTGAACTCATCCCTCTTGTATCCTCTGGATGTGTCGCACCTAGTGATGGAGCTAAGGGTAATTAAGAGGGTTTAATTGAACCCTCGTCGTCACAGAATTACTCTGCAAGCGGGATAAAAATAAACTTTTTTATGTATACATAAACTTTGTTGAATCCTCTTAACATAAGGGATTCTTCTGATGTAGCAACCTAGGGGTTTCAACTATTGCCGTGGAAAGAATAAGATGCTTGAATAATTTCATTCATATTTTTCAATATCATGTACATGGCTTTATATACAGAAGAGGTTGAGAAGCAGAATCACCTAAATCCCATAAAATTTGGGATTGTACAGAATCTAATAAAATACAAAAAGAATCAGAAATCTAATATTCTAGATTACAACAATTATCCCTAAAATCTTAGAGAATCATATCTTAATATGGAGAATATCTTCCGGGAAATCCTTTAACATTCAACATTCCCCCTCAAGTTGGTGAATAGATATCTTCCATTCCTAGTTTGCTTATCAGGTCTTGAAACACATTATTTGGTAGTCCTTTCGTTAAAACATCAGCCAACTGATCTTTTGTAGATGTAAATGGCGTACAGATCTACTAATCATCAAGGATTATCTTTAACCATAACAACTCGCAAAGTCCCATCACCATAGATCTGAACTCGGATTCTGCACTTGATTTGGCCACAACATTTTGTTTTTACTTCTCCAAGTCACAATATTTCGTCCTAAGAAAGTGCTAACTTGACCTTCGATCCACTAATGAACCAGCATAAGCCTCTAAAAGCATGTCTCCAATAAATTTTGAGAAGAAGAAAAGGCTTCTTGTATTTCTTTGTGTGTTTACATCCCATGAGCAAAGGAGTTTATGTAAAGCTTCTAATGCTAATTAAGGAAATAAAATAAATCTATACAATCAGTTCAGCTATCAAATCAAATAAAATCAAATAAAATCTCCTAAATATAATCAAATCTCTTGAAATCATGCTAATCAACAATCTCCTAAATTTAATCAAATCTCTTGAAATCATGCTAATCAACACTCCGACGAGCTCTTAGTGCATAGGAAATATTCACTCGTTCTCCATCAAATTCTAGTATAGTTTAAGATATCGTCCCACAGAGATTGAAAAATCTATGCTACAAACTCGTAATATTTTAGCTACTATTTGAGAGAACCAAATTGATGAAAAGAGAGTAGGATTTTGAATTTGTAAATTACTTAAACAAAAACAACTTCTGGAAAATTTATATTTAAAAAGTGTTGGGAATCATTGAATTCACTTGACGATATTTTTATAATGAAATCTCAATTTCTACATATATATGTCACTAATGGATAATTGCTTATTGCTAATACAATTATGATTTGCTCATTAGAAAGTAAACAATTAATAATACTCCTTGAGGTTATATTATTAACTGACTTACGACTAGTGACGATAAGATCGAAATATGTCTTGCCTGAATTGTGCCAAGAAGTAGTAAAGACCTCTTGAGATTATCTTTACGAAGAAATCAATGATATTGCTTATAACAATTCCTTCGTGAGAATTAAAATTGAAGTAAGCAAAAATCAAGATTTGGAATGCTAGATTGCTGAAAATTACCCTTTATTTACTAAATATGTATCGATTTTGCTTCGTGAGAATTACAAAATCAATACAAGTAACTTTAGAAATAAATAGATAGATGTGACTAATTAAAATCTAACATCCCAGTACAATATAAAAGTGGAGCTAGAAAATCTCAGGCCAAGTATGTAATAAGATTGAGAAAACTATTATAAATATATATATCAAGCTTCATCAACTATCCCAACAAAAAAATACTACTCCATTTTCGAGTATTTGAAAAAGAAAGGACTTCTACAATATGGCCTATATTGCCAACACTACCAGGAAATCCGAAAATTACAAGAAGTAAAGAAAGAAAGAACAAGAACGATTAAGAGACCAAAGCTTTGGAAAATAAAGTGGCTCTTATGTTCCCTTTTCCTCGATGCCTACTACACAGAGAGTTGCCTTCTACTTATAGAAGTGCGTTTCTTCTTGAAATGTTGTGATCTTAACTGAAGAAGATACATAGTGAGGAAAATGTGTCCCGAGAAAGATGCATCTTGAAGAAGATGCGTCGTAACCTTCTTGCGTTGTGAATTGAATCGGTTACAACCTTATCGTTTCTTTCATTTTCTTGCTTTATTAATAATATTCGTATCTCCTTCAAAACATTGTTAGAAAATACAGAGAATCGAAATATTATATAAATACTTTATTTAAAATAGTATATTTTAAGTATATAATATATGAATATTTTATATTCATCACACTCCCCCTCAAGTTGGTGTAAAGATGTCGTAAATGCCTAACTTGCAACTCAATGTATGAAAAGTTTGCTTGTTGAAACCTTTGGTAAACACATCAGTTAGCTGTGTTTCTGATGGCGCATGAAGCAATCCAGTAAGCCACTCTAAGCTTGCCCGACTCGCGTCTTTCCAAAATTCCACCGGGATCACGTCTGGCCAATCGTCTTACTCTTGCTCATCTTCAGCATCACCCCCTCAACCTCCTCAACTGTAATACGCCTACAAAACCCAAAATCTCGTTGGCTCTCTAAGTTCTCCAACTCACCAAGCATGATGTTCTTGTCCCCATCCTCGTTCAAGAGTTTATGGAAGTGTGTTTGCCACCTACGCCTAATACATGTCTCTTCCACCAATACCTTGCCTTCCTCGTCTTTGATGCACCTCACTTGGTCCAGATCCCGAGTCTTCCTCTCTCTAACCTTGGCTAACTTGTAGAGTCTCTTGTCACCGCCTTTGCCCCCAAGTTCCTCATTCAAGCGTCCAAATGCTGCATTTTTAGCTGTCGTGACCGCTAACTTCGCCTCTTTCTTAGCCTTCTTATAACACTCCCTATTCGTCCTCTTCTCCTCCTCGATTGCACTCTCCACTAGCTTCAAATATGCCGCTTTCTTGGCTTCTACTTTTCCTTGGGCCTTTTTATTTCACCACCAGTCCCCTTTGTGACTTCCCGAGTATCCATTCGTGACCCCTCACATCTCTCTAGCAGCTTCTTTAATGCAGTTCGTTATCGTGGTTCCACATACTACTCGCGTTCCAACTACTCCTCCAAGCCTCCATAGCCAACAACTTTTCTCCCAACTCATGAGTTTTGTCCTTAGTCAAGGCTCCTCACTTGATCTTAGGTTGACCGTACACCGCTCTTTTATTCCTCTCTCTCTCTCTCAATCTCCAAGTCCATTACTAAGAGCATATGTTGTGTCGATACATACTCACTCGGGATAACCTTGCAATCAATGCACATGCCTCTATCACACTTACTGTGGAAAAGGTAATCAATTTGAGTCTTGGCCACCGTACTCTGGAAAGTGACCAAGTGGTCCTCCCTCTTCTGAAAACACGTGTTAGCTATCACCAAATCAAAAGTTTTAGCGAACTCCAACAACGAAGTTCTTCCCTCGTTCCTATCTCTAAAACCGAACATGCCATGCACATCGCCATAGCCCCTAACAATCTCCCCAATATGGCCATTAAAATCACTTCATATGAATAGCTTTTCGGTGAGCGGAACACCTCGCACCACCTCGTCCAATATCATAGCAACCGCACGGAAATACACATCTTGCCAAATATCGCCCTAAGGCCCCAATCATGATCTTTAATATGAAGAAAGAAGCTCAAGTAGCACATGAATAACAAGTATAGATATGTGTTTGTGATATAAGGCATGACTATGATCAAATCAAGTATATCAACAATTTCAAGAAATGCTCATTTAAGATATGTTTAAACATGATTTCTAGCATGGATAATTATACTCATATAGTTTTAGAAGCATATGAAATATTAGTCAAGAAGATTAGAAAGTTTAACAAGGCTCAAAGAAGCATATAATTTACCCCGAGTATGGATAACCCTAACACATGCATATACGCTCGTCACCTCGCAAATGCATCACCCCTGCATGTAGTAAACACTGACATTTAGTAGGAAACATTCCATAAAAACAAAGCAAGGCAAGACCTTACCTCATTCCGGAACAAGTTCTTCCTTAGAAATACTCCTTAAAACGATCAAAACCTAGTCACATGTCATCTAAGGAAGTCAATAATGCTAAAGGAAACATCCCCAATCAATAAAGGTTCAATCTTTGATGAAATCCCAAAAGTCAATAAAAAGTCAACCCGGGCCCACATGGTCTAAATTCGAAATCGAGACCAAATCCCGATTCCATATCCACGCGAGTCCAAATATATAATTGGTTTCAATCCGACCTCAAATTAAGATCCAAATCCCCAAAATTAGCTCTCTTAAATTCAAACCCAAAAACTCAATTTCTACAATTTAAAATCCTAGATTTAGGGATAAAAATTTATGAGGAATCATGATATATAATCAAAATTAAGTTAAAAATACTAATCTTAGAAGTTGGGGTGAATATCCCTCCAAAAATCGGCTCCTTCCAAGGTCTAGGTCTCAAAAATGATGAAAATCAGGTCAAATCCCATTTCAAACATTTAAATACCCAGGCGACAGTGTGCATCGCGTTCCCGAAGGCCAAGGTCTACGGCTATCGCATTCGCGCTCCTGTTGTCACATTCGCGATGGTTGTTCCCTCTGTCAGCGTTCGCATTCGCGAAAGTCAATCCCCCGTAACTTCGCGTTGGTGTCCCTCCCTTTGCGTTCCGAAGGGTAAAATCCCACTGCCCCAAAGTACTCTACGTGAACGCGATACTACCTACGCGTTCGCGAAGTGCTGCAACACATCGGTAGATCAACTGCTACAAAAATGGACTAAAATGGTCCAAAACCACCCCGAAATTCACCCGATCCCCTAGGGACCCCATTCAAACATCCAAACAAGTATATAAACCTATCATAACTTGCTCGTAAGCTCAAAACATCAAAACAACATAAAAAATTAAGAATGAAGCAAACTCAAGAATTTCAAATGTTCGTAACTCAAATTTCTAACTTTCGACGAGAAGCACCAAAATGACCTCGGGTTACCCAAGACCCAAACCAAACATACGTACAAGTCCAAAATAATCATACGGAGCTAACGGAACTATCAAATCACCAATCGGAAGTCGTTTACACAATAGTCAAACATTGGTTAACTCCAACAACTTAAAGCTTCCAAATTGAATTCTTCTTCCATAACTCTCCTGAACCTCTGAAAATCAAAACCAACCATGCGCGCAAGTCATGAAACATCAAATGAACCTATTAGAAGCCTCAAATCGCAAAATGGAGCGCTAGAACTCAAAACAACCATTTGGGTCGTTACTAAAGCACCATTGTCTCGGCAAAATAGTAGGTGAACGCCTATCACACTACTTTGTGACCCGTCGAAGCAATGAAAGCTCTCAAGTAACCTCTTGTCACAGTTCTGGTATCATTTTACGACATGCTTCAATTGCAAAATATAAGAGAAAACGGTCTCCTTCTCTCAAGTCCTCAGCTATCAAAGAGTACACATGGGCTTCTGTTCTCTAGTTCTCCGCAATAGTTTGACCACAGTTCCTAAATCCCAAAAAAGTACCCTTCTTTTACTGGAAGTACATGGCCCGAATTAAGCAGAGTGGATATAGGACCATATCAATCTCAACTAGTTCATGGCATTTCGAATTGGACATTCTTCTTGATCGAATTTGAGTGGAGCCCACGTAAATATGCACATTTCTCCTTGTGCACTGCAACTGATCCTTTGTAACTAAATGACTTTGACGGAAGAAATTAAGCATGGTGATTCACTTTCATGGTTTAATTCCTACAGGTCATAGGAGTTTATGACTTGAGAGTCGGAATGAGTGGCTGTATGGATTTCTGTGATGGCTACCATATATTTACCTCATCCTACTTGGACTATACATGCCCATTTTTCCGTAGCTATAAAAGACTAATAATCAGGAAAGATATCATCATTATACTAGATGATTTTGACTTTCCTACATGTCAAAATAAAAAAGATGATCCTGATTTTGCTTCATCTCGATTATGTTGGAAATTTGCCTTTTCAGGTGACATACATCATGAGATCCAGTGGTCCTAAAATTGATTACCTGTGTATATTTCTGGTACGAGTGATCAGTAAGATCTTAAATTGATTACCTATGTATATTTCTGGTGCGAGTGATGGGTAAGATTTCGTGTGAGTTGTCAATTCCAACTGCTAAAGAAATCTGTATGGTAATGACTGCTATGGACTCTATTGAAGGTTTCTGGTATCCAATTTAGCAAATAGCAAAATTTTCGACTCTCTTTCTCTTTTGCTTTTGTTCAAACTTCATTTTAAATCACAAAAGAGACAAAAGACCAAGGTCATGTAGGGTAAGCTATTCCTATCATGTCTGCTTGGACCGCACCTTGTTTCCCATGAGCTGTGTCAGCTCCGTGGCTCTCTTCTGGTCAAGAATGAGCGTATATATTTGCTTCCTCGAGGATATGATTGATCAGAACCAGTAGCCGTATGCTAGTAATAACCAGTTTGCAGAACAGGCCTAATGGAGTGATATTGATTAGTCTGGTTCTTGATGAGGCTAAAGCCGTTTGACACTCGAGTCAGTTGGCAAGGGTAGCTACTCTAGGTCCTTCCTTTTCAAGTATTTACAGACTCCGCATTTTGCTAAAACGTTATTGTCCACATTTCTCCACTAGACGGGTCACTTGTCCAGATATCATAGTATTTGACCCATTTGGTATTTTGGAATTGGTCAGAGCTACCATATTGCTAACTAAGAAATAGTAATTTTATTTAACTATTTAGACTGGATTTCTAGACTTGCCTTTTACAGAAAAATTAAATGTTAAGTTGCTCGGACTCTTCACTTTGGATGTTGCACCTTTGTACGTGGGTGTGGGTGTGAGATATGTATCGGATATAGCCAACCAATTTTGGGTATTTCGACTAAAATCGATGGAGAAATTCGGGAAAGATACAATGATTTTTGAAATCAAAACAAAAGTTAGGGTGAAATTGAAGAAAATGGAATAGCTTGCAATAGAGATTGTCGTTTTCCTCAATTCTCTTGTATTGAGGTGTATTTTTTCTTGAAGGTTTTAATATTAGCAATGGATTTGTAACCATGTTTATGTACATACATGTTTTTTGATTAGTGTTTACCCTAGTTGTGAATGCAACCATGCATGTGGAACACCATGGACATGTGGCAGGACGACTGAAGTTGGAATACGACAGCACCAACATGGGTAGTATTAACAATAATTTCGGGAGTCATTTTTTTCATAGTTTCTTAGATTGTAGTAAAAAAGGATAATAATGCTGCTACAATATTTATAAGTGGATATATGAGTTGGGTTGAGTCGTACTAGATAATGTCCTAACAAACTATTTTAGCAGTGTGAAATGTCTTTTTAAGATTAAACAAGCTTACCTCCAGGATACATGAATCAGCAAAATCAACAATAAACTCGGCAAGTTTGGAAGGTGAATAGAAAACAAATAGTAACTAAATTTGTAAAAGAAAAATGGAGATAGAAAGAAGAGAGAAACGTTAGTTGGAAGGCTTTAGTAGTAGAAGGCTTGCTAATGATTAGCTAGATAAAGTAGGTAATCATCACTAATGATGAGAGGTTTAGAGAAGAATAGGTTCTGATGATTTCTTAAGGCAATACACACGCCTTATCTATAGGGATGAAGCCATTTGTTACAATATTCCATGCATCTGCCACTTTCTAATCAAGAGACCTAGTGTCAAAAAATATTTGAAATATTGCCACAAGTCCAACAATTATGTGACCTGAGTGGCGGTTATAGCGAGTCTCAAAAGGGCAATCTTTTCGCTTTTATGCTATCTTTGCCTTGTGGTAGGTCCGAATGTGGCTGCAGACTTTGATCACTTTTTACGTCTAATCTTTGTTTAGCTACATTGGGTAGGTAACATTCAAGTTAAAGTTCTTGCGGCAAGTACTTGGGGCGTACATAGATTAGGTTTGGCTTTTATCAAAATCAAACCAAACCAACTACATTGGTTTGGATTGGTTCGATTTTGATTGATTTTTTGAGTTTTTTGTTATTTAAATATTATGTCAATCTTACTTTGTTAAAGTTTTGATAAGTAAATATATATTTAGTAAAAATTTAAAAAATTGACAAACATATTATCTATTAAATATTCTTATCCGAGAATTTTACTTAATAACATATGATAGTTTTTAGTCGTCTGACAATAATTTTTCGTTGATGTACACTTTCAAGGTTAACCGAATTTAGTGATTAAACATAAAAATCAATATGATACCTAAATAATAATAACCACTTGAAAAAGATATAAGAATTTAATAGATCTTGACATATGAATATAAAAGAACAAAGAGATTGGCACATTTCAGTAACACTTGATAAGAAAGTGATCATACAACTCATTATTTAAGGTTAATAAATATGGACTACTTCATATTTTATAAAATATTATATCCCATAAGAAAATCCTAAATATTTCTAGACATTTTTTAAAGAAAATTCTATATAAAATCTTAAAAGTATATATAAAAATTATATATTTATATGTCGGTTTGATTCGAGTTTTTTTACTCAATACCAAACCAAATCAAACTAAACCTAATCGGGTTTTTTAATCGGTTTGGTGCGATTTTGAGGTTCGGTTTGTACACCCCCAGCAAGAAGTAAAGTTCACTCCTCACTATGGAAGAGTCCAGAACCCATTTGTGGTTCATTTGGACAAGTGTGACGGAAATGTGTGTTTAAAAAAAAGAGTGACCTTTCTATATATAGCGCTCTTTTAAAAGAGCGCTATATATATATATATATAACGCCACTGTAAATCGCGCTATACAGGGCTGATAAGACAGCTATGCATAGCGCGGTATATAACCTCGCTATAACCGTTTTGTGGGCCCACAAATAAGTTTTTCGCATTTAACTGACATAACAATAATTCAAATAGGTATAGCGCTCTTTAAAAGAGCGTTATACCTAAAAAGAAAATCAGCCCCCCCGAGCTAGGCATTGCCTTATTTAAAGGCGTTAGGATTTTACAAAAATCCATTCAAAAATATTCCTAACTCTCGTTAAATTTTTTCTTCTTGTTAAATTCTCAAGCATTTTTTCATAATGTCTGTAGAGCGAAAAGTAAGGGATTTATTATATTTGGGGTGAGGTTGTGGTGGCGAATAACTCTGTGAGCTATAGTTTATCTCCACAGTGTCATGTTAAGTTGCCACTTACAATGGAGTACGATAGATTAGTATTGTTGTTATGTAATAAAATGAGTGTGAGGAAACGTTTGGTGAACCTTAAAGTAACCGGAAGATATTCGTATTCCGTCACTCCGTAAGGGGTTGCTTGTTATGCTGAGTTTAACATCGATGATGATGAAACTTTGAGGGATTTTTTGAGGACTCCGGATGAATACCGAGAATTTCTTGTGATAAAAATGTTGGAAATGTACGTCAAGGTCGAAGACGTTCGCAATAATGGGGTTGCGCATAGTAGGGATAACCCTCAGTCATCGGGTGATTATTCTGGAGCAGTTTTTGCCGGACAGGTTCCAGATGAAAGAGTTTGCCCTGATTTAAACTTATCACCACGGGCGAATGAGGAGCGAGGAAATAATTTCTCTCTTGCTTTACATAATCCACAGTGTTACGATTGGTAAACTTCAATTTTCCTTAGTGTTATGATGTATATTTTTGTTGTATTGAATTTGTATTAACACTCATATATTCCATAGAGGGTACCTGCCAGATATGACTTTTATAAGTTATGAACCCACGCCCAGTTGGAATATGCGTAGTTCTGGTGTGTTGGATCATGGTGGTCC